AATATGGTTCATGGGGTCATGAAGAGTCGGACACGACTTAACGACTGAACAACAACAACAGCCATGAAAAATTTGCCCTCCGTTATGACGTGCTATGACATCACAGCATCTCATAATTCTCATTGGATGAGGAGAATGTGCGTGGCTCATAAAAGTATAGGGGCAGCTTCAAAGTTCAAAGGATTCAGCTAATGTTACCAGAGTAAGGGCAGAATGATAAACTGATTAGAGGTTGTGGGAGAATCTTGGATGAACAACATTTCAAAAGTCCACTTAGTCCGGAGGCTTAATATGAGAGCTGAGGTCAATCATTTTCCCTCAGGGTTTTGTTAGGAAGCTAGAAGGGGTGAATGTAGCCAAAATATTGTAATCAAATAATAATATTTTATAGGGAGAGGGCTGCCCTGAGCTCCTGGAAGAAAGCTGGGATATAAATTTAACAAATGAACAACACAGTTCCCAAGTCCCATAGCCAAAGGCGTGGAGAGGAACAGAGATCAAAGTAACAATAACTGTGGCTCCAAGGAGAATAATAGCACTCCAAAGCCCATAGTGGAAGGATATAACTGCATCAGGCTGTGGAAGTAGGGAAAAAATAGTCAGCTTTCATCTTCCCTCACTGCCTCAATTTGAAAAGAATGAAGATATAAACTTTTCTCCTCCATCAATCTTCATTATTTTCCATGTATTTTACAGCCCAATTTTTTTCTAGCAAGCTCTTCAGGTGGCTGCTTATAGATTCCAGAAGCCTAATTGCTACAAATACTTTACATGATTAAAAACGTTACCCGAATCGTTTCCCCCCAGTGCCTTTTCCCTGAGAAAGCAAGCACTCCAGAGTTTCACGATGGCTTAAAAGTTGGATTTAACTCCTGGTGACTTAGTTGGCAACAATACACCTGTAGCCTTGTAAGGGGATGATTCTCCTTCTCCTTTTTTACTTTCCAATTGATTTTACTCTAATTCAGTGTTTCTCACCCTTGGCAACTTTAAGATATGTGGACTCCAACTCCCAGAATTCCCCACCTGGGGGATTTTGGGTAGTTGAGGCCACATTTCTTAAAGTTGCCCAGGGGGGGGAACAATGAATTAGAGTAAAATCAATTGGAAAGTAAAAAAGGAGAAGGAGAATCATCCCCTTACAAGGCTACAGGTGTATTGTTGCCAACTAAGTCACCAGGAGTTAAATCCAACTTTTAAGCCATCGTGAAACT